CATGCACTAGACAGTGGAGTGAGAAATCCCAAAGCAGTGTTCTTGACCCTTGATGTCATTGAAGAAAGAAAGAATACAGTCGGTTCGAGATTTCCAGTTTCTCAACAGGCCTGCTGCATCAACCTCCCAGACCCATGAGTTTTCATCCCGAAGCCAACAAAGAAGTCGAAGATTAACAGTTTGCCCTTGACACACCTTGAAACAGCAGAATTCATTTTTCCAGTTTTTCCCTTTGGGGAAAAAGGACCCATTTAAAACAATTGGACACTGGTATGGACTGTGATGAGTGGCAAAAGACCCTTTTCAGTATTTGAACAGGACTCGGCCACTTAAAATATCAGCCTTGCGGTTTCCTGATTTTGGAATTCTGCCTATGCCAGTGTATTTTTCTGGAGAAATGCAACTTGTCCTAATGGGACAATAAGGAGACTTTGGCTCAAGTTGCATATTTAGCTGAGGCTTCTGACATTAAATCAACAAACTGCATCACCACAGGAACAAATTGGTGATCTGTGGATATTGCAACAAGCCTCTTCATAGTGTTTTATCATGCTACATGTGTAACATCAATGAGTGTACCTAATGTATCTGTGCAAGTGCACTTTCTAAATGCTTTCCTGAGTGGATCTTGGAATGATTGTATACTTTATCACCATTTTGACCATCAAATTGTAACTGTAAATCATATGTGTGTTACCCTCGTAAGAGAGGAAGGCTGGTAGAATGTTCCGGCACAGATCGGGAGATGTGTATGGCACTGGAGAGGCGCTACATCACTGGGGCTCATGGGAATGGTGGCTGTGGCGGTAGGCATTCTGGCTTTATGCCTATTTCAAATGTGCCCTGTTCCATAGGCAACGTATTCATCACCAAGTATTGCTCAGGTCAGTCCTTGCCAATCCTGCTAGTCATGAAGTCTGGTTACAGATGATCTAAGGATGAGGTTCTCTGATGATGGACAACCTGTGGTTAAGAGACCTCCCACCTAAGTCAGGGTTGGCCAGGTCTGCCAATGACAGATAAGGCAGGGTGACTCTACTTGACCTAAGACAGGAGTGAGTATTAGTAAATAAAAATGGGGAAATTCTGGGAACAACATACCTTGGCCTGAGCCACACTTTCCCATCAGCCTGGAAGTAGGCAGTTGTAAGACAATGTTTACTAAAAACATGTTTACTAAAAACAATAAGGTGCCTGGATCAATAAGTTCCTGATAAGGGCTCGCCTGCAGGAATGCCCTAACCTCGACCTTTTCCAAAGTGTAACCGCCTCTTTCTGACCCACCCACCCACCGCTGCCTCTGGTGTAAGGGTATACATACCTTGGTTTTTCATGTAAGGGTTTCTCTTATTGTTTTGAAGGCTGTCCTGTAACTCACTCTGTAGACCACGCTGACCTGGAACTCACAAAGATCCACCTGCCTCTACCTTGGGAGTGCTGGTATGAAAAGTGTACACCACCAACGCTCGGCCTGTAGGCTTCTTGTCCTTTCATTGGCATGCATTTCTTTAGGTTGGGAAAGTTTTCTGCTATGATTTTGTTTTATGTATTTTCTGCTCATCTGAGATCTGGTTCTTCAACTTCTTCTATCCCTATTATTCTTAGGTTTGGCCTTTCACTGTGTCTCATATTTCCGGGATATTTTGTATTAGGGATTTGTTGGACTTAAGATTTTCTTTGGTTGGTGAATCTCTTTTTTCTAGTGTGTTTTTAACACCTGAGATTCTCTCTTCCCTCTCTTGTGTTCTGTTGGTTATGCTTGAGTCTGTATTTCCTGCTGTTTACCCATCTTTTCCAATTCCAGCATTCCTTCAGACATTTTTTAAATTGATTCTATTTCAGCTTTCAAACCTGGCACTGATTGAATTACTTCTTGCAATTCTTGGTTTCTCTTTTCTGGCATTTCATTCAATGATTTTCTTATTTCTTCTTTTGGGTCTCTATCGTAATCTTCAAGAAGTTATTTGTAAGGTCATTCTCTTATGTTTCATCTGTATTGCGATGTTGATGTCTTGCTGGTATAGAATCTCTAGACTCTGGTGTCATAGAATCCCTACACTGGTGACCTCATGGTGGTTTACCTGTTGTTGAATGCTTTCTTTTTTTTTTCTTTTTTTTTTTGGTTTTGGTTTTACGAGACAGGGTTTTTCTGTATTGTTTTGGAGGCTGTCTCTCCTGCCTCACCTTGAACTCACAGAGATCCGCCTGCCTCTGCCTCCCAAGTGCTGGGATTAAAGGCGTGTGCCACCACCGCCCTGCTGTTGAATGCATTGTTATATTGTCTTCCCATTCCTTTTTCCAGTGGGTTCAGGTGGGGTGTCTTCCTCTCCTGGTGGGTAGTTGATCCAAGGTTCTTTTCTGCTGTGTGCAAGCATATCCACTACTCTGATTGGTCCCACTGTGTGTCCAGGAAATTCTGATTAGGTGAATGCCAACAGCTGACTCTCAGTTGTTTGGTGAGGGGGCAGGGAGGTGTAGACTTACTTGCAGTCCCTTGGCCATGCCATTTTCTTTAAGGCATTTGTAACCATTTATTATTGGTGTTGTATTTTTCTTTTCTGTTTGTTTGTTCCTTATTTTTTAAAGTGGAGGGCTCATTGTAGAGTTGTTTTTTGCTACTCAAACTCACTAGGCTGACATGGTTTGAAGCAAAAAAAAGTAAACATTTCTCTGCATGTTGAGTGTTGAGATTAAGGTGGCACTAGCAGTCCATGCTGCATTAGGTTCTGGAGTTTGGTTTGGTTTCATTTGTTTTGATTTGATTTGATGTGTTTGTTGCTTGGGCAGCTTGTATGCCTTTGCAGCAAGTGTGCCTGATGAAAGTCATTATGTAAATGAATCAGCGGAGGGCGGGTTTACAGGACAGGTAACCAGAAGCAAGGGCGTGGCCACGATGAGCCTGCTCAAGGAACTGCCCTGCCTTCAGGGTAAATTCTTCCATTTTCTGCTCGCCTCTGGGATACACGTGAAGTGAACCAGGTGAGGAAGAGCCTGCAGGGTGCCCCTTAAAAGTATTCTTTTTCCCAGTTCTCTCTCTAGATCGTCGTTTGCTGTCTGACTGGTTCTCTGTCTGGCTGTCTCCTCTCTATTGTCCCCGCTTCCAGATGGCCTTCTCTTCTGCTCATCCTCCTCCCCAGGCACGTGCCCACCCCAGAACTGTTGCTCATGGAGTGCGCTCTTAGCAGCCAGGGGCCATCCACTTTCCTGCTTGCCATTACAGACACAGCTTTGGATATTCTGTCGTTGAAATCTTACCATGGATGGTAGGTTTGAGATACCATGAAGTGGGCATTTGTGTTACTTTTTTTTCTTTCTCACTTATGGCACCGAGACGATTCTGTCATGGAATAATTCTTAAAATGAACCTCATGGAACATTTTCATTGGCTGTTGTTTGCAAACAGGATATGCTTGTTATGGTGTCAAATCCAGGGTTCCTGAAAATTAAATCATCCATGATTTCTGAAACCCCTGTTTTACCACTTGCCTCTTCCAGACCAGTGTCCTTTGTCCCTGAGACTGGGCATCCTGAGAGAGCTTTGTAGATAATAATGACATGAGGAACCAATGCAGATATGATTAAGCAAAATATATTTCATACAGTTGCACACATGGTTATAAACATTAAACATTTTACATCGCAATAATTTTCCGTCATCATAATACTCAGTCAAGATGTAAATACAGCATTCAGAAACATGTCCTCATGTACTGTGTTGTTAAGTACAGATAATGCCAACTTACTTGCTGTTAGAGTATATCATGCCACACCCTTTTAAAGTTACCATACTCAGTTCATAAGAAAAGAAAATTATAAGGAATATATATATATATATAGTCACGTGTATCAGCTAATGTTCCTTTTTGTTGAAGAAATGTTCCGTGTCCATTTACACATGCCCAGACTCATTTTATGTCAGGGTTTGTTGTGTGTATATCAATGCTGTGACTGGATTTCTTGTAGGAGGAGTGGGAAATGCCTCAGCCATGCTCACAGTGAATTTTGCAGAGATCTCCTGCTGGAGAACTGCAGCAGTGAGGGTTCTGGGGGTGAGAATAGATTCTTGCAGTCTCCCTCGCTCCTCTTCAGGACTCCTGGGAAAACGACTATTCATGTGTTTGAGCTGTATGTGAAATGGTCTCACATCTCACAGTTAAAGGGAAATCCTCAGTCAAAGAGACATTTCTCTTGATATTTTCTCTCCATGTTTATCCTATTGGTAAGAAGTATGTTTCATTTTTGCTCCATGGGAAGTTCTAGGTGATTTTTGCAGGATGTCTTTCTCTTGTGCAATAGCAAACAAACGAAAAGATCTTGGTACAAACTTTTTAGAATCTTCACAGAACATAAACATTTCATGTATTCTCACACGTTTGAATGAAAACATGCTATCATAATTTGAGTTAGGTAGTATTCCTATGTCTTTTGTTTTCTCTTTTCTGTCTACTGATGCTGTTAGCATTCAAGGTTCTAGGAGAAGATACTTTTAAACACTGATCTTTAGTAGGTTTGAAGACTTGTTGTATTCCTAAGAAAGTGCCTCGGTATAGCATGCTGATTGAAGTTTGAGATGACTGGGCATATTCTGTTATATGTATGATTCTCTGCAAGCCTGCTAGTCATTATTGGTTTTCTGTGCTAGTCTTCTTTCTTAATAGGGACGTTGAATCTTCTCTGCATCATTGTCTGTTTGCTTCCAACAACTCTGTCATGGAATGTTTCATAGATTTGGAAACTATTTTCAGGAAATCCATTCATCTTGATCACATAGCTTTGTGGAAATGTACCATTTGGTCATCTGGTAGTACTCTTTGTTTTGCATGTTTATGGAATCAACTTTTCTATTAGGTACCGTCATCATGTCCAACTCTCTTCACAGGAAATCTTTGTGAAAAATTCCTTCACCTTTAGCACTTTGCTTCCTTATATTTGAAGTAAATACTTTTATGGAAAGTATATATTTTGATTTTATAGTGTTTCCTCCTATTTTTGACAACTAGATGTGAAATTTCAACAAGAACTCAAGTTTTCTCCTAAGACACTCAGAGAAGAGCCACAAGAACAATGGATGCTTCTGTGGTAAATGCTCCCCAGGTCAGTGTCATGTTCACATTTTTATGTAAACTTCATGGTGCATTATGCTCCTGTTTCTCTGAGGTCAGCACCAAACCATGGGCACTGAAGTCATACATTGTAGTTATTGTCATATGTTTAGAGAGAATTAAATTAAGTTTCTCTGTAGGAACAGCACGTGGCTCTTACCTCTGAGCCATGTCTTCATGCTGATGGATGCTTGTGACATTTTATAACACTGTATATTCTATTTTTTCAAAAAGAAAGGAGTAATAAATGATACCTGTCTATGCTAAATTCTTGATAGATGGATTAGCTCAAGTACTGAAAAGAAAAATAGAGTTGAAATGAAGAGGTTTCAATTTTCATTTCTGTTAATTGCATAAACTATAATGTATTCAAAATTCCTCAAGAGTTAGATTATTTCTCATTTCTATTGCATACATTTGTTTTGGTAACCGAAAACATTTCTAGTTCATGTGATTGCTTGGTCACATATCCCTCTCTTTCCATATATATTTCTAAGTATTCTAAAGTATTATTCGGGAAATTGTTATTTTCAATATTTTTTGTGTCAAGTTTTAGAAAAACTCAAATAACACGCATGTTATCTAATTCTGCTTTTCTGTTTATTTCATGGTTGTAATTCTTCCTCATTAAATGGTTTCACAAAGTACTTGATTCTATGTGTTGTTAAGAGCATTGGATATAAGCAATGATTTTATACTCCTTACACTCAAGAAAAAAGTGAGTTTATTTTATCCATAGATTCTGCATTCTGAATCCAACCTCTTTGTTCTAGAAAGTGTGCAGCAGTATAAGTGGGCCTCACTATCATCAACTGAGCATTTTGGAATAGGTATGGGAACACAGCTTCAGACAGCATCCACGTAGTATCCATATTAAGCGAGGTTGACTGGAGTACAAATTCAAAGCATAGTTTTGCTCATTATAACCTTACCATCTGAGACATGACAATGAGATTCTGGTTGATATCAACTCATATTTCATAAAGGTACATTCCTGCATCTAGAGCTCAAATGTGTGTGTTGTATTCCCTTAAAGTTTGCTGATTGCCAGACTATTATGTCATCCTGTTTTGACAGAGACAAAAAGGACAATAGTTCCTGAATGGTATAGCAAGTGTCTTTTATTAAAATTAAATTATACCATTATTTTATGTGTTTCCATGTGTTTCCCAAAAAGTATGTGTAGTGTGTATGACTCCTGCCTATAAGGTGCAGCATAGAATCTCAAGGATCTGAGATGACATCTGGTTTTGTAGTGCCATGTGTGTGCTTGCAATCAAGCTACATTTAAAGGACTTTAAGATATTCCAGACTGTACACAGGAGACAAAATTTTTCAAATTTAGTCATTTGGCATTATTTTATGGTACTCAAGGATTAGAAAACATCAGAATATTCATGTAGGAGAGATACCAAATTAATGTAAGGAATGTACTATGTTGACCTATACATTGTCTTTGAAAAGTAGGCATGGGGGACTTGTAGAAAGTCATGTCCTTTAAAAATTGACATGCCTCATCTATATCTTAAACATCTCTCTAATTCATTAGGTCTGTCTGATATGGGGGAGGTTTCCAGACATGGTTTCTCTGTGGTTTTGGAGGCTGTCCTGCAACCAGGCTGGCCTGCCTCTGCTTCCTGAATGCTGGGATTAAAGGTGTGTGCCATCACTTCTTGGGTCATTAGGTTTCTTTTACACAAGAAATCATTTTGTGAATCAGTTAATGGTAAATAGCTAATTTTGCATTGCAGGGTCTGTTATCACTCAGGGATGTGTCTGTAGACTTCTCACAGGAAGAATGGGAATGTCTGGACTGTGAACAGCGGGCTTTGTACATGGATGTGATGTTGGAGAATTACAACAATCTGCTTTTTGTGGGTAAGTGTTCTCTTCTCATAGAATTCCTGATTCATCCTTTTCATTTCTCTACTTTACTTCGTGTATCTGTAAACTCTCTGAAACTAGAAGTTCCCAGAAATGAAGAAAATTTGGTTACCAAGAAAACTGGTGTTTCATTTACATTTTCTGTGTTCTCTAGATGAGTAAAGAATGCTTTCTTCTCTGTGATCTCTTTCTACCTACTATCTAATATACAAAGAACATTTAAAAGTTCAAAGAATATTGACTTGTCAGGGCATGGAAATATATTGTCATACTTATCATAATTAGAATATTTAATTTTATTAGGGGATTTAACTCTTCACCTATTATTATAAACAATGCCAAAGTTTTTAGAGGAAGGGCTCTTGTATATAATAAGGTTGTGTGGCTAACAAAGTTATTTTATGATTGCCATGTTTAGTACTTGCACAGCATGATATTAATATTTCTACTTTAGAGCCAAAAGCGAGAGGACACGTTTAGTTCCCTGCAAATGTGTTTTATGAATTCCAAGTTATGTTACTCTGTCTCAAATCTTATGATGTAGGGAATCATTCTTCATATGATCCTTCACAGAGTAGCTGCAAGGGACAATGTTTATGGAGAACTAGAAGCCTCTTCACTGGAATGACTTAGGTCATCTAAATTTGTATGACAGTTGTTTAGTTTGTTCTATTTGTGGATCTCTTGGCAGTGGGATCAAAACCTTTCCCTAATGATTTGGTGTGGTATCTGGAATCTATTCCTCAGAGTTGGTTGCTTCAAACAGCCTTAATGCAAAGTGAGGAACTTAGGTATACCTCAAATTAGTGTGTCATGCTTTGTTGACATCCATGTGAGAACTGCCTCTTTTAGAACACAAACAGAGGAGGACTTTTTGGGGGCATGATGGCGAGCCAGGGAGAGGGAACACAAAGATTGTGATGAAAGGAAACTGTAGAAGGATGTCAAATAAATGAAAAAAAAAATAATGAAAAGTGAGTTGGCCATTATTGGTTACTGTGATTTACTGTATATCAAATTCGAGATTCTGAACATCCATTTATTGATTGTTAAACAGAAAAGTCCTGTGTTAAGAGTGCCGTCCCTGAAAGTTACTAGTTTATATGTTATAGAAAATGTAAGATAACATCAGGTATTGAATCAGTTACTCATGCATTAATTACTATTATTCACAATTGTACTAATTTTTCAGACTTCCATCATGTATGTGGCAAATGGGAGACAGTCTTGCACCAAGGCACAAAGCATTTTATCCATGACAATGAAAATATTCAAGAGAAGTCTTATACGTGTCATGAGTCTGGCAAAGTGATTCCTGAATCCTGCCAATGTACACCTTTTGACACAATGGATACTGCCAAAAATGTCAACAAGTACACATTTGGTATCCACAGAGATGCATCTAATGAAACCTTAAACCTAAACAGACACAACATTGGGAATGCTGGGGAAGAAACTTGCAAGTATCAAGATTGTGTAAAGTTTTTGTATTTGTGTTCCAACTTTAGCCAAAATCAAAGAACTCACATAGGAAAGGAAGACTACAGATATGCAGAGTATGATGCATCTTTTGAGTCTAATACAGAAACCAAACTTAAAGAAACTGATTGGGGAGAGCATCCACATCAATGCATGCAATGTGATTTCTTCAAGACTCACTCAAACCTTATTAGGCATCATGAATGCAGTAAATCAGTTCTGAATTTTTCACAACTCAGTACATATTACAGAATCCATTGTAGAGAAACTCCCGACAAATGTACAGAGTGTGTCCAGTTCTTTAATTATTTATCAAAGGTTGAAAGAAATTCCAACATCCATACTGGAGAGAAACCTTACAAATGTAGTGAATTTGAGAAATCTTTCACTGAGAAGTGTAATCTTACAACTCATCAGAGAATCCACACAGGAGAGAAACCTTACAAATGTAGTGAATGTGACAAATCCTTTTCCATGAAATGCCATCTTACAAGTCATCAGAGATTCCACACTAGAGATAAGTCTTACAATTGTAGTGAATGTGGCAAATCCTTTTCCAATAAATGGTTTCTTACAACTCATCTGAGAATCCACACAGGAGAGAAACCTTTCAAATGTAGTGAATGTGACAAATCCTTTTCCATGAAATGCCATCTTACAAATCATCTGAGAATCCACACAGGAGAGAAACCTTACAAATGTAGTGAATGTGACAAATCCTTTAACACAAAATACTATCTTAGAACTCATCAGAGAATCCACACAGGAGATAATCCTTACAAATGTAGTGAATGTGACAAATCCTTTAAAACAAAAGAACGTCTTCAAATTCATCAGAGAATTCACACAGGAGAACAACTTTACAAATGCAGTGAATGTGACAAATCCTTAAACACAAAACAAAGTCTTATACTTCATCAGAGAATTCACACAGGAGAGAAACCTTACAAATGTAGTGAATGTGGCATATCATTTTACAGAAGAGACCAACTTAGATATCATCACAGAATGCACACAGGAGAGAAACCTTACAAATGTAGTGAATGTGACAAATCATTTTTCAAGAAACGCAGTCTTACAACTCATATGAGATTGCACACTGGAGAGAAGCCTTACAAATGCCCTGAATGTGACAAATCTTTCACTGAGAAATATAATCTTACAACTCATCAGAGAGTTCACACAGGAGAGAAACCTTACAAATGTAGTGAATGTGGCATATCATTTTACAGCAGAGACCAACTTAGATATCATCACAGAATGCACATAGGAGAGAAACCTTACAAATGTAGTGAATGTGGGAAATCCTTTTGCAAGAAAGCCTATCTTAGAGTTCATCAGAGAATTCACACAGGAGAGAAACCTTACAAATGTAGTGAATGTGGCATATCATTTTACAGAAGAGACCAACTTAGATATCATCACAGAATGCACACAGGAGAGAAACCTTACAAATGTAGTGTATGTGACAAATCTTTCACTGATAAATATAACCTTACAACTCATCATAGCGTTCACACAGGAGAGAATCCTTACAAATGTAGTGAATGTGGGAAATCCTTTTTCAAGAAAGCCTATCTTAGAGCTCATCAGAGAATTCACACAGGAGAGAAACCTTACAAATGTAGTGAATGTGGGAAATCCTTTTGCAAGAAAGCCAATCTTAGAGCTCATCAGAGAATTCACACAGGAGAGAAACCTTACAAATGTACTGAATGTGGGAAATCCTTTTGCAAGAAAGCCAATCTTAGAGCTCATCAGAGAATTCACACAGGAGAGAAACCTTACAAATGTAGTGAATGTGGCATATCATTTTACAGAAGAGACCAACTTAGATATCATTACAGAATGCACACAGGAGAGAAACCTTACAAATGTAGTGAATGTGACAAACAATTTTTCAATAAACACAGACTTACAACTCATATGAGATTCCACACTGGAGAGAAGCCTTACAAATGCCCTGAATGTGACAAATCTTTCACTGAGAAATATAATCTTACAACTCATCAGAGAATTCACACAGGAGAGAATCCTTACAAATGTTGTGAATGTGGGAAATCCTTTTTCAAGAAAGCCTATCTTAGAGCTCATCAGAGAATTCACACAGGAGAGAAACCTTACAAATGTACTGAATGTGATGAATCGTTTTTCAAGAAATACCGTCTTACAGCTCATCTTAGAATCCACACAGGAGAGAAACCTTACAAATGTAGTGATTGTGACAAATCCTTTTTCAAGAAACACAATCTTACATCTCATCAGAGAATCCACACAGGAGATAATCCTTATAAATGTAGTGAATGTGACACATCCTTTTCCAAGAAATGCTATCTTACAAGTCATCTGAGAATCCACACAGGAGAGAAAACTTACATATGTAGTGAATGTGGCAAATCCTTTTCCAGGAAATGTTACCATACAACGCATCTGAGAATCCACACAGGAGAGAAACCTTACAAATATAGGGAATGTGACAAATCCTTAACCACAAAACAAAGTCTTATAACTCATCAGTGAATTCATACAGGAGAGAAACCTTACAATTGAAGTGAATGTGGCAAATCCTTTACCAAAAGAGACCGTGTTAGAACTCATCAGAGAATCCACACATTAGAGAAACCATACAAATGTAGTGAATGTGAGAAATCCTTTTCCAAGAAAGAGAAACTTAAATCTCATCTGACAATCCACACAGGAGAGAAGCCTTACAATTTTAGTGAATGTGGCAAATCCTTTAGCAGAAGAGAACATCTTAGAACTCATCACAGAATCCACACATGAGAGAAACCTTAGAAATGTAGTGAGTGTAACAAATCATTTTGCAGAAAAGGCTGTCTTAGAACTCACCAAAGAATACATAGAAACACCTTAGAAATGTAGCAAATTTGAGAAATACTTCAATGTTGTTTCCGATTCTTAGAATATGTTCTGGAATATTTCAACACGGTGTGAAACCCAAGTTTTAAGAATATCAACCACCAGAAAAGTCAATCTGAGAAACATTTTGTGTAAAAATAATCTTGATTACACATCCAAGTATTCACACAGGAGTGAAAACTTAAAAATGCAATATACATGCAAAAGACTTTACCAGCCTCTCTGGTCAAAGAACGTTTGTGAAAATTCATAAAGGAGATAAAAGTTTCAACTGGGAAAAAATTGGCATGTGCTTCAATTAAATTCTCCTTTGCTACACCTGAGACTCCACACTAGGGAAGCATGAACATGCCAAATTTGTGAAAGAATTTTAAGTTATTTTCACATCTTAGAAAGCATCGATAGTTGTGTCAATTTTTATTAAATTTTATTTGTTCAACCTCAAGTAGTTGTTAATGAAGATGAAACACAGAATCCTGAAGTATGAGCTGTTGTGTAAGTGTCCTGGAGACTAGAATGATCTATTTTTAAAGAAAGATGATTAGGGCAGTACCCACAGCACTCAAAACAGCTTCAAGAACTCTCCAGCACTGACAGCATTCAATGTGTTTAACTCAAATGAACAAGCTGAGAGAAGTCAAACCCTTAGAAGAGGAACCTAAGCCCTAAGAAAGTATTATCTTCATCTTGTACATATGCTTACAGGTATGCAGTGTGTTCCAGGTGTGCATTTTTCATAAGCTGTTTCATAGCTGGTTTTGATTTCCATGTCAGCAAGTGTGTTTGAGTCCCTTATGCTCTGATAAGCATCTGCTTTCCCATATTGCAGTATTCAATTCTAATAAAGCTCTTTAATTCAACGAGTTGAGCTTCATTTTGTTTATATTTTCCAGATGGGGCAAGTAGATGAATGTGCATGTTGTACCTCCCTAGGAATTGTATTTCACAAACATGTGCTCAACTCACGAATTGTTTCTCAAAATTTGTTGAAAATAAGAGCTTGATAATAGCATAGCATTTCTCAGGCTATGGTCTTTGACTCCTTTGGGAGTCTAAGATCCTTTCACAAGGGTTCTTAAGATACAGTACAACATATTTTAAATGATCTTAATAACTGAGGTGTTATACCTTTCTTGTCTCTGGGTGTAAATATGTCAGGTTCTGTTTTGTGTGTGTGTGTGAGAACTAAGTCATCTGGAGCATCATGGTTGTGGAATTTGAGTTAATTACATAAAGTTTACTATAGAGAGAAGACTTTTCCTTGCCAGCTCCTTTAGTGTTTCTCCGCCAGTCGCCTGGGCTGTGCCATGTTGTAGTCCCCAAATAATACACAAGATGCTGTGTTAATTATGAAACTGTTGGCCTTGCTTGTTTCTTTTTTATTTTTTTATTTTTATCATTTTTATTTTAATTTTAAATAGCTTGTTTTACATGTCAATCCCAGTTCCCTCTCCCTCCCCTCCTCCCGCACTCCCCCTTACCCCCTCCCTCCCACCCTATTGCCAAATCCTTCCACATAGGGGTATCTAGAGTCTGTCATTTTACTCTTTGTAGGGATCAGGTACTCCCCTAAGAGTCCAGGCTGAGAGAGCATCCCTCTTTGTGCTATAGGCACATGAAGACAGTTTGTATACCAGGGATAGACACAGCTCAGGGCCCCATAGGTTGCCCAGGCCTTCTCACTGACACTCACATTTGGGGGGGTCCAGAACAGTCCCATGCTGGCCTCCCCACTGTCGGTCTGGGGTCCAAGTGCTCTCCCCTGTTCAGATCAGCTGTCTCTTCTGGTTTTGCCAGCCCATTCTTTGCCAATTTGCTCATCACTCTTCTCTCTGTCACTGGGTTCCTTGGGTTCAGTTCAGTGATTAATTGTGTGTTTGCCTCTGCTTCCATCAGTCACAGGATGAAGGCTCCCGGATGGATATAGACATCAAGTTCATTATCAGGAATGGGCATTCGAGGTGGTCCCTCCACTATTGCTTAGCTTGCCAATTGGTGTTATCCCTTTAGATCACTTGAGGTCACTCTGCTGCTTGATCTGTTTTCGATCCTATGATTCCCTCTTCCCCCTATTCTACCCCCACCCCTCAACTTCCTGTTCCCCCATGACCAACTCCCTTCCTCTTCACCCCCTCTCTTCTTCCCAGGTCCCACTCCCCCCACCCCTCACCGTGTTCCCCATCCATTCAGAGGATCTTGTCTCCATCCGCTTCTCTTGGGTACTATGCATATATGCATATCTTTTAGGTTCTTTCCTGTTTCCCAGACTCTCTATCTGTGGAAGTGCAGACTGGCACTATCCTGATCCAGGTCTAAAATCCATATATGAGTGAGTACATACCATGTTTGTCTTTTTGCGACTGGATTACCTCACTCAGGATGGTTTCTTCCGGTGCTATCCATTTCCCTGCGAATTTCAAGGTTCCCTTGTTTTTTTCTGCTGAGTAATACTCCATTGTGTAAATGTACCACATTTTCTCTATCCACTCTTCAGTTGAGGGGCATCTAGGTTGCTTCCAGGTTCTGGCTATTACAAATAATGCTGCTATGAACATAGTGGAGCAGATGCCCTTGTTGTATGAACTTGCCTCATTTGGATATATGCCTAAGAGTGGAATTGCTGGGTCTAGTGGTAGATTAATTCCCATTTTCCGGAGTAATCTCCATACTGATTTCCAAAGAGGCTGTATTAAGGTAGTTCATCTTTCATCATAACTAAGGAAAACTACAATTATAACTATCTGTCTTCAACTCCATTAAAGACCACAGAAGGATAATATATAAACACTAGAATTGACAAGAGACATCTCATTTCCTGGACAGTCACCCGAAGTTCCTCTGTAAGATGGGATATCCATCTTCAGCCCATAGGCTACAGTGTGTCTGGAACACTTCTCAGCAAAGCAGGAAATTTCAAACTGTCCATCTGCATCGGCAGTCTGCAGTCATTTTTCTGTCCTGCAGAAAGTCTCATAGACTCTTCCATGAAACAGGAACCCTGAAGGACTATTTGAGTTCAACAGTCACTTTCCTGTGGGTCCTGCATATCCAGTTTATACAGCAACAGTCCAGCAGTCTAGGCAAGAGCAGATTCTTGCCCAAATTGTTAATCTTGCCATGGTGAAAGCAAACTCCATAATGAGTTTCTTTGATACCCATCTTCCTCTCAGACGTAATTGGTGATACCAGGAACAGACATTTCTTATTGTCAAGAAAAACCCTGAACCATTTTAAATAACATTTTCTGAAAGTCTTTGAAAGGTTTGAAGACTGTCTATCTCAAATATATCTCTGTATATCTAGAAAACCGAACTTACCTAACTATATGATCGATTGTATAAGACTATCTATAGTCTGTATTTAATTATGCATTACATGTTAAGAGACCAGTATAAGCACAATACTTAATCAAGAGGAGAAATACACATATCACAAAATTGACCTTGAATTTGTATCAATAAATGAAAACCATACCAATACAAAGTACTCATTTCCATACCATAATCTCCTTTTTCCTTTAAAATAGATATGTTGTGATCATTAACCATTCATAAGCAACTCCATTTGAATGAAAACAAAGATTTATAAACATATGGGGATTTGGACGTCTCCCATTCAAACTGCTTCGTGCTGGAAGGGGGCCCAGTTCACAACATGGGGATCATGACAAAACTCAGAAACCTGTATAAGTCCTTATTTTTGGGATCTATATCATCTTAGCAGTTTTAGAGGTTGAATCACTTGGGCCACTGCTTCTGGGGGTCTTGGTTCATTATACCACAGGAGCTTTGAAGGAATCCTCAGCTATTAATTTTCTGTAGAAACATAAACAAAAATTCTTTTCCAAAGTAACATATCCTTTGACTTAAATTTTGAAGTCAAGGCATTTTTAAGAGGTATAAGTTGAATTAACGTAGCAGCATTTTAGTCAAGTGTATTTTAGTAGTTGCTCCTTTCTGAGCAATCAAAAACTGAAAACCACAGTAGCATACATTATCCAGACTCTCTGTGTATTTTCCATCTTTATGTGGCTTATTTATTTATCTATTATTACCTTATTTCTTTTACTTTTATTTTTCTCTGAGACAGGGTTTCCCTTTGAAATCTGCCTGCCTCTGCCTCTGGAGCAAAGGCTATC